CCGTGGATCATTTGGAGAGAGAGCTGGCGGACAAGGAGGAGAAGCACAGCAAGGAAATGGAAAGGGGGACAGGGTGGAGGTGAACTTGGAGTTGACTGCGCATAGAGTTGTAGGAGCAGCAGCCGACTTGAGAACGTGGACCCTGCCACCCCTGGAAGATTCGTGATGTTTTCTCCCACCAGAGGAAGACAGTCACGAGGGAAGTGGTTGTCACGGAAAGGATGAACATGCCGCAAGGAAGTGATCCCAGCAGAGACCAGGCGCGTTCATTAAAGGGACTCTTTTAAAGGGATAGTTCGCAGCACTTAGAGTGTGGAGGACAAAATGCTGGAAGCTGCTTCACACAAGTGGGGCAATTTGCCAAGTTTTTAAAGAGACGCTTGATACGCCTGATGATTTCTACGACTAGAAAAAGCCCACAAGTCCCATGTAAACTACTTTGGTAACTTTTAAAAAGCAATAAAACCATGCCATTCTCGATGTTTCTCATGTTTCCAGTTACAGGATACTAAGGAAACATCACTTTTACCAATTTGCTCGTTTTCCTGTCATTGAAGTTATCTGTTACTGCTATCACAGAAACACTCCGAGCGAGGGGCTCCGGGTTAGGTGGTAAAGCTCTACAGCAGCGGTTCTCAACCTTCCTCATGCCGCGACCCTTTAATACAGTTCCTCCTGTCGTGGTGACCCCCCACCATAACATTGTTTTGTTGCAACTTCAGAACTATCATTTTGCTACTGTTATGAATCGGGTGACCCCCCTGGGAAAGGGTAATTCGCCCCACAGGTTGAGAGCCGCTGCTCTAAGGGACCCTTTCCCTCTCTGTTGGCTCCAGGGGAAGGCCTGGTTCCGTGGCTTCTTGGTGGTCTTCTGTAGTGGTAGCTCTCTCGCCCCTCTCTCTGCTTGCTCCCTGGCTTGCTTAATCTCCTTTATATCTCAAAGAAGATTGACTCCATGTTCACCCTACACTCACCCTGCCTCCCTGACCCAGTGTAACGATCACCACAGGGCTAGCAGTTACAAGATGCCTTTGGGGGACACGGTTCAGTCCATGGCACGTCTGCACTCCCCGGGGAGCCCCGAATGCACAATGGCTCGGTGTTTGGTTGCTCCCCAGAAGATGAGACCCTCCGAGGGAGAAAGGAGCTGGTGACCTGCTTCTGCAAAGAGCACAGGCCAGCAAACCCTCGGGGCAGTCTGCTTTGACCGGAGGTTCCCTCTGACTTGACGGTGTACAGTATTCTCACCGAGTTTTGAGTGTTTTGCCAATACATTGGAAAGGTGTGATACACTCGTACGGTTTCTTACTGCTGTCAGATGCCCTCTGGTCTGGTACTGCCGTGCAGAGCGAGCATTGCCTAGCCCCTGACAGGAGCCTCGGATGGTCGGAGCCTGCTCCAGGAAGACATCTCCTGGTGGTCCCAGACCCCACCCCTGCTCAGAGCTTCACTCTTGGTGCTGTGTGAACAGTAGGAGGTTGATTGTAGCAGGGCTGTTGCTTTCTGCTTATTTTCTTAGAAACCTGTTATTTATAACTTTTATTATCATTACCTCCTTACCGGACTCTCCTGCTGGGGTTGAAGAGCAGAGGCTGAGCGCTGGCAGGCGGGGTCATCTTTAAGTCAGTGTTAGGTATAGCTGATCGCTGATGAATACATTCAATGAGTGTTGAGCCTGTCACGTGCAGCACACAGGAGAGTCGGTTTGTTTCCGTTCTTTATAAATCAAGCCCAACGATCTGCCTTGAATGATGAATTTTTTAGTGTAGCTTGTAAACTGTTACTTTGTGAATGGCAATAAACATTAGTAAATGGCCCCATCTAACAAAGAAATTCAACATTGACACATCCTAAAGCCGCAGACAGACTGTCTTGCTTCGTGTTTTGTTCGGTTGGTTTTTGTTTTTCATTTCCAGGAACGGCTGCCTCACACACGCATTAATCAGTAGGAAAGCTGTTGGAAGATAGTAGGATTTTTGGCAGAATCTGTGTAAGAGTTGACAGCCCTGGCTTGGGAAGTGGGCCATGGGCCATCTGCGAGGGGGTTGGCAGAGGGAGCTGATGGCTCTTCCTTTGCACCTCCACTCTTCAGGGGCTGCAGATCCCAATGTGTAGCCACCGTGTCTCGCTGCTCATATTCCCAGAAACGGAATATCCTTGGCCCAGCTGTGGTACTGCAGATGGAGCAAAGAGCCTGAACAACCCGTTACATGGCCCCTCACTGTGCGTTAGGGGTGTTTCTTAGAAAAGAGGTGCTCATCCTGAGTTGGAAAGACAAGCGCCACCCCCGAAAAAGGGTGAGGACTATAGTACTTTACTCTAAAATGTATGGTTAATTTCCATAGATTTTCATTTATCATAGGAGTTAAATTATTGAAAAGTCTACTTTCTAAATTAAATTTTTATAAATGGAAAGATTTTTAAATGCTTTCCAAAGAAATTCCCTAATGGGTGCTGTTAGAACATAAATGCTCCTTCCCTCCTGCTAGGTTTGTGAGATTCCATGTGAAATCTAGTTTTCTAAGCCCTGAAAATGCTATACTCTATGAGGTCAAACCATGCTCTCCAGCTCTCTGTTGTGAACTTGACCTCTTCTGCCCACCCAACGTCCTCTCTATTCAGGTTTCTGTGGAGTTCCCGGAACACGCCAGGGACGCCTCTACTGCAGGGCCTATCAAGCTGGTCCCTCTGCCTGGAATGCTGTCCCCAGAAACCCGCTTGGCTTACTTTGCTGTGTCCTCAGGCATTTGCCTAACCACCCTGCTGAATACCACATCCAGAGACCTTCCATGGGTCCCTTTACCCTGCTCTGTCTTGTTGCATATCCCGTATTAACTACTCATTTTCCAGATAATTCATTTATCTACCATGCTTTCTGTTTATTACTGACCTTTTCTCCACCCCTCCCGCCCTACCGCTCCCACGACAGTGCAAGTTCCCTCACATTATAGCAGTGGCTCTCAACCTTCTTAATGCCGCAACCCTTTCTTACAGTTCCTCCTGTTGTGGTGACCCCCAACCATAAAATTATTTTTGTTGCTAATTCATAATTGTGATTTTTGCTAACGTTATGAATTATAATGTTAATATCTGATATGCAAGATGTATTTTCTTT